AGGAGGAGGAGGAGGAGGAGAAGGAGAAGGAGGAGGAGAAGGAGGAGGAGGAGAAGAAGGAGGAGGAGGAGGAGGAGGGGGAGGAGGGGAAAGAAAAAGAAAAAATACTAAAATGCAGTTGTGAGAATTTACATGTCTCTGTACCACTCTCAAATGTCAGTCTTCCAATGGTCTTATACTATACCCTGTTCCCACTTCTTGAACAAAAAATTAACATATTTCTATTTATTTGTAACAAATATTTGTCTTCTAGCTTCTGAAGCAAGCTTAGCAGCTCTCCTAGGTGAACTTTTCAGAGGCCAGTTATAAATCCCAGATGTTCTAAAGGCTGGAGAATATTTCACTTGAGTATGTGAGTTTAGTTGAATAAGGGTACATAGACTTTTGTGGACCTTACAAGTTTTTGTTATGTTTTGGGCTGGGTTTTTTTTTTGTCAGTAGCAGGGCTTGAACTTGGAGCCCTGTACTCTTTTGTTCAAAGCTAGTGCTCTACCACTTCGAGCCACAGTGCCACTTCCAGTTTTCCAGTGATTAATTGGAGCTAAAAGACTTTCTTGCCCAGTCTGGCTTTGAACCACGATCCTCAGATCTCAGTCTCCTGCATAGCTAAGATTACAGGTGTGAGCCACTAGAACCTAGCTTGTTTGTTGTTTCTTTGTTTGTTTAATTTCTGTACCAACTTTCCCCATTCCTCCCATCTTATCTACCAAGGTTAGGTAAGCTATCTGGGTATTTGTTAATCAGACTCATATGGTTGGAAACAGGAATGCATTAACAACAACAAACACAAGAAGAGACATCATTAATGTGGTGGTGTTGATCTGGGAAATGGAAAGGAGTTATTGGCCTGCAATCTGCAAGAGCTAAAGAGTCCTTTACCCCATAGAGTAAAAGTGTTTTTAACTAAATACCTAAAACTTACCTCATTCTCCCTGACTTAAAATAAAGTCTAAGAGAATGTTCTGGATAATTGACAGAAAAAAAAAGATGTGAGAGATTCTAAAGATCAAAGGAGACTGTGTTAAAGGAGAGAAAATTATAATGAATAAAAAAGATCTATGTGCATGTATGTATGTGTACAAATGTACATATATTTATAATTCTTTATAATATCAAGCTTGGTTACATACAAAAGGTATGATACTACACAGAATATGCTTCATATGGAGTATTCCATTTATATATATATATATATATATATATATATATATATACAATTAAATAGTGTACGTATCCTATTAAAGAAATTAGAAGTCCATTGTGTCAGGATGCAGTACACCTGGAGGTTGAAAATGTCAGCTCCAAAGTCCGGAAGCTAACAGTAACTCTGAAATTTATTTAAGAAATACATCTACTTAAATCTCACTTTCTTGTTTGCAAAATGAGAACATAGCAATGCCAATCTCATCAGATTTTGCACAGGACTAAATGAGATATGGGATATACATGCAGAGCATAGTGTTTGGTACATACATGCTGTTCGTTTTTTACCACTTCATCTAATAGAATATGGATATTTTCTCATCACAACAAATACTATTTCTTTTTGTAAATGTTCTTGCCAGGTGCCTGTGGCTTCTGGGATACATGCCTGTAAAATACCAGCTACTCAGGAGGCTGAGATTTGATTGACTGAGGTTTGGATCCAGTCTAGGCAGATAAGTCCCCAAGATGTTTATTTTCAATTACCCAGTTAAGAAAAAAAGTGGAAATGGAGGTGCGACTCAAGTGGTAGTGTGCCAACCTCAAGAGAAAAAGCTAAGGAAGAATATTAGGCCCAAGGACTTACACACACATACACACACACACACACACACACACACACACACCACAATTGTTCTCAAAATATATTAGTGAACAAATGAAAGCTGTGATGATAACTTCTGTTGTGTGACATTCATTTATATGTGCATATACATTTCAAAAGAGCAAGTTAAATGGTGGGAAATGACCTACCAAAAGGCATGATTAAGAGTTCTTTAGGAAGTAGATGCTAGATACACAATCCAACTCATGGAGGGACTTAAAAATCCACACTGCAGTTCGCACAAGTGAAAAAAAAAAATAAAGACAAAAGGAACAAGAGTCTTTCATATAGCAGAATGAATAGCATTCTGTGTTACAGGATAGAAAGTGAAACCTACAATGCTTCCATCATAATTCATCCCTCCAAACTTAGATATTCATATCTACAACGTTAAATATTGGCAATCAGATTCATTCATTTCCATGGCTTAAAAGACCACCCTCTGAATATCTGCTGACTCTAAAATCCTTTAAAAAGTTTGGTAGAAGCAGCTAGTAGAAACAAAACAATAAAAAGAGATGTCAATACCAAGAGCTACAGTGATGGTTGGAGTTAGGGTTGGCATGTAGTTAATATCTGCTGTGGTGCTCACCTTGGCAGTGGCATGGGGGAAAGCACCCTTCTCCAGGAGCAGCAGCGCCACCTTCTGGTTGTCATAGTGAGCAGCGACATGGAGCGGGGTAAGGCCATTCTGTAAAGGTGTGTTTAAGTTTCGGCATTAATACATTAGTGTCAGCGGCCCTGCAGCTATGGAGATGCATGGACATTGAGTTCAATTAAGTTGGTGTTAATTCATTAATACAGTCAATGGAAAATAAAGAGTCAAAATAAAGATATAATTTTCATACTGAACGTGTGAACTAAAAAGGTAAATTAAAATTCGCTGAAAATGATTGAGCACACAATTAGCAACAGGCAGTTGGGTGGAACAAGAATAAAAAAAGTCTAAACTGTTCGCACCTGGAATCCTAGCTACTCAGGAGGTTGAGATATGAGGATCATGGTTCAAAGCCAACCCGGGCAGGAAAGGCCGTGAGACTCTTATCTCTAGTAAAAACCACTAGAAAGCCAGAAGTGGCACTGTGGTTCACCTTGAGCTGAAGAGTGCAGGGACAGCACCCATGCCCAGAGTTCAAGCCCCACAACCAACAAAAAAAGAAAAAAAAAAGAAATATAACATAGCCATCAAGTCCCCAATGGCTCAGGCCTGTAACCCTACCTATTCAGAAGACCTGTGGTTAGAAATCAGCCTGGGCAAGAAAGACCATGAGACTCTTATCTCCAATGAACTAGCAAAGAGCTGGAAGAGGAGCTGTAGCTCAGGTAGGAGAGCAGTAGCCTTGAGCACAAAAGCTCAGGAGAGCATCCAAGTCCTGAATTCAAACCCTAGGACCAGCACTAAATAAGCATATAAATGACATTGACATCAACAAGAATTCTTCATAACAGAGACAAGTAAAAGCACCCCTTCTGAACTGGTGTGTGTATGAAAGGTTTTGAGGGGATACCTCCACCCTGTCTAACCAGCACACATTCATCAGTGACACAAGTATTTCTGCAAACATTTGACTGAGTTCCATAACTAAAATACACTATCGAAGTACGGTACGCTCAGGCGAGGATTCCAATGGTGAAATTTCCTCTCCTCTGAAGAGCAGCGGGGAGGTACACAAGGAGGTGAGGCAGATGGATGGAGAGACGAAGAACAGGCAAATGCCATGATCAAATTCAGCGTACACAAGTGAAAATGGAGCCGTGTAATTTGAGAGTGTGGATGGGGTTGGGAAAGAGGAGACCCTGATGAAGGTGCATTAAAGTGATTGATTGACTTGAAACCTCTGTGTCCAATTTCTTAAAGACAATAGTAAAGGAAAAAAATAAGGTAAAAATAAACATGCATGAAATAAAACACACCATTGAAAGCATGTACCTTTCCTGCAGAGTCTGCAGCTGCACGGCGTTGCAAGAGAAGTTTTGCCACATCCAGGCTTCCATACTTGGCTGCCACATGCAGGGGAGTGAAGCCCTTCTGGAGAATGGGAAGAACACAATGTACAAGTGATTTTTCCTAAATCCTCACAAAATCTTCATTAAGATATTAAGCAATCTTTGCTGATTTTTCATCTGAAAAAAAATGCTGTCAGTATAAAATATGTTAGTCGTAAACAAAGACAAGAATGAAAAAATACAAGCTAACCTTCAAAAGTGTGGTTTGATTTTAAGGTTGTGAAGACCGAAATTGGATGTTGTCAGTTTGGGATTTGTAATATCCACTGGTGCCAGTAAACTGGCTCTGATTTGGACCCTGCCTCCTATTTCTTACAATCCTTCTTTTTGGTAACACCTTAATTCCAGGTTTCTTTATTTAAATTTTAGGATAATTTGGGAGCTGTGGTTTAATAAAAAATAGAATTCTTGGCAATTCGCTTGACATATTTTCTTTTGCAAAACAAAATTGCAAGATAAGTGGTCTACAGAAGAAAATATACTCCTTATGACAAAGGTCCTCCCCTCTGCCTTTTGTCTCCTTTTTCCAGAAAACTCAGGCTGTCTGAAAGACTCTTTCCTCTTGGAAAATACATCCTACTCCTGGCAAGATGTTGGGTTGATTAATGCCAGACTTTTGAACACATGGAAAGTTGAATGTGCTTTTCAAAGATGGCTGTTGTGCACATTCCTACATACACACACTCCATGTCTGTGTGCTTAAAGAATAGTCGCACAATGGGCTGGGAAGGTGGCTCAGTGGTAGAGTGCTTGCCTTGCATGCA